CAGGTAGGAGGCCTCTCACGGCTGGGCCTGAACTTGGGACGTGGGATTTCCCAGCCGTGGACCCAGTGGTGTCGGTGCTGTGGCAGCAGCGGGTTGTGAGGAGGCCGGCTGTGCCAGGGGTTGATCCTTGGTGCTGTAAGAGACATACATGCATGTTATGAGGCATACATGTCTCATTAAAAGACGCAGGGTGTCAGTGAAACTGTGTGTTGTGTGACTGCTACGATTCATCAGTGTCATTTGTGGTAACATGGTGCAGGTAGTTTCCTTGGGCCCTTTAGGGGCCTGCAGGCCTCACTTGCATTTAAAGGGGACAGAACTTTAATGCTAACTGGCTGCTGTTTGTGGAGATGGGATGCGGTTTGTCTAAATCTCCCTCATCGCTGCAGCTTTCAGATTAGTGAGAAGCGATGCTAAGGAGCGGCAAGGTTTTAAAACCTAGTTAAAGCTTGTAAAAAATGTTGCACCATGTCAATTTCTTTGCTGAGCTTCCGTCGCCTTTCTGTAAAATAGTCAAGGCAACTTACAAAGAATTCCAATATAGAAACAGAGTTTTAAAAACCAACAGAAAATCAATTCTAGAAAGAAATCAATAAGAGCCAGCAGTGAAGTCAACAATGTCAGGGAATATTTTGCTGGCTCAGTTCTGTTCCAGATCTTTCTTTACAGGGATGTGGAACTGGGCAAGGCCGCCCGGCCATCTGCCTCTGGACAGTTCGTTTCGGAATGAGGGCAAAATGAAGCGTCCCGTCTTGGAGGATGGGTTCCTCATAGCTCAGTGCTGCGCACGGACGCTGGGAGAAAGCATTTGCCTTCCCGTGCTGCCCGTGAGGCCGGCAGTGCTGGATTTCTACCAGAGTGCGAGACCAGCTAGAACATTGGCCTGATTCATCAAGGAAACACTTTCTCTGCGCACAGTTCTCGTCTCCTCCCTCCGCCTCTCCCTCCCCGGGAACACGGGCACGTTGGCCGTGCATCCACATTCACATGCGTGTGCGTCTGCGTGTAGCGATTGCTGACCTGTTAACCCATGACCCGAACCCCTTCCCACTAGAAGCTGGGCTGCCCTGAGCATTCCCAGAGAACGTGCGTGCGCAGCTACGGTACCGGGAGCCACGCAGCCGGGGAGGTGAAAAGCTTTTGCTCCGGCAATTCAGTGCAGGTGGATCCTTGGAGGTGCCCTCTTTCTTTGGAATTGGCTCTTGAACAGCTGTAAGCAGGTGTTTATTTGCATATATTACTGGAATTATCTCGCAGTCTCCCAGCCAACTCTGTTGCGGTCGCACCCATATTCCAGAAGGAATGTGGAGAGATGGGAGTTCATGGCTGAGGTGAAATTTGGCTCTGAAATACTCAGTTCGTGCTCTTAACAGTTGCCACCCCCCACAGTCATATCCAGCTGTTGTTCCAAGCATCTGGAAGTCAGCAGACCCTGTTCCTTCCTGGAATATGGCATAGGTTACGGGTTTTTCTGTCCAGCTGGGCTGAGAGAGGCAGCATTTGGACAATACTAGCCAGGTTTAACAAGATGAGAAATGAATGAGTTTTGGTTTGCAGCATCTTTGGGGCTTCCTTAGGAATGCAGTCAATCAATCCAGAAAACTTGGATTAACTGTATATTGCGTGTTTGGACTAGGAAACACTAGTTATTAGCTTTGGAGCAAACCAGGATTTAGGCCAGCTTGAAACCATGATTTGCTATCCTGGCTTGTTTTGAAGCTGGTGATCATAGTTGCACTGTTCACACAGAAAACCATGTTCAGTTAGAGGCTTCCTGCTTAATTGTGACTCAGGCAAACAGAGAAGCGATGTGAAGGCGTGCATGGGAGAGAGGGTTCTTTGCATCTCGGCTCCTTGACCTGAGAAAGGCCCATCCAGATCACTGCACAGCTGGCTGGACTTCCCCTTTCCAAGGCCATGTCTTTAACTTGCCATGATTCAGTGCAGAAGTAGCTGTTGCTTCCCCTTGGGGAAAGCAGGTTGCAAAGCGAAAAACCCCAGCAGTGGCATACCTCCACTTAGCTACATGAGCAGCAGAAAAAGGAACAGGAATGGCTACTTCAGAAATGTCATCTTGAACAGCACTGAGACCAACAACAGTAGCATAACTTGTATGGCCCTTGCGGGTTCCAGGTGTTAAACCAAGTTGCAAAACCAGCTCCAGACCCTGTGGACATGAACTGTTTGGCACGCCACGAGGGGGCAGCGAGTTCGCATGCTCATTGTCTGTCTTTCCCAGCAGGCACCCGAACGGGATACAGAATCTGACCGAGGGCTTCCTTCCCGGCTCCCCACTGACCCCGACCAAACCTTTGAAAGAGAGATGGAGGCAGCCGAAATTTCCCTCACCTTAGTCGCGTCGTTTCAAGCTATGGAGAAGAAGGTGGACTCTCACACCACGCGGCTACTGGATTTAGAGGGGAGGACGGGGACCGCCGAGAAGAAGATCATAGACTGTGAAAAAACCACTGTGGAAATCGGGAACCAGCTGGAGAGCAAGTGGGCCGCCCTGGGCACCCTGGTCCAGGAGTACGGGCTGCTGCAGCGGCGGCTGGAGAACATGGAGAACCTGCTGAAGAACCGCAACTTCTGGATCCTCCGGCTGCCCCCGGGCTCCCGGGGGGAAATCCCCAAGGTCTGTGGCCCGCCGACGTCGCAGAGCATGTGCCGCTTCCGTGACGGAGGCGCACAGGCCCCCCGGGTGTGCCTCCCAGGTCCTTCCCTGCTGCCAGACGCGGGGTGGCTGCTGGCTCAGCTGCCTTGGAAAGCGGGTTAATGGAAGGGGAGCCCGACCACGGGAGCTGCAGTTGTGATGGATCTGTGGCAGCTCTGGGTGCAGGCGCAGGGTCCCCAGACTCAGGAGCCCGGTGTTGCCCGGTTGATGGTTTGTCGGGGGGCTTCTCAGGGGCGTTTGGGGTTGGGCACTGTGGAAGCAAGAGGCTGGCTGAGAGGGGCTTTAGGGTGCAGCTTCGGGGCAGGAAAGAACCGGCTGGGAGGGCCGGGTCCTGGGAAACAGGATTAGCCGCAGCCCTGGCCATTAACAAAAGTAAAGGCAGCTGTGCTGTTGAAGCGTCAAGATCCGTATTAAGTGAAATATGCTTCTTGGGCCAGCTCAGCGTTGGGCAAGCTTTTGAGCAAGCCGGGCCGTTCTTCCCTCTCTGGTTGCCCGCAGCCCCAGGACTGGCTGCAGGCCCGATCGTCCACCGATCGTGCGCGCCCAGGACCCCGCGTGAGCGCCGAGGCCCGGCCCGACTCAGAGCTCAGGCCCGCTGCCCACGGGGCTGCCTCACCCGGCGTGCCGCAGTTCTGCCTGCCCGGGCCCCCGGCATCGGCAGTGCGCAGGCGCCCCCCCCCCCCCGCCAGCAGAGGCAGGGGAGGCGCATGAGGCCGGGAGTGTCCCAGACTTGTGGGTGATGTGCTGGTGCCCCGTGCAAAGAGCACCTTCCTGTCCCGAATCTTCCGCCAATCGGTTTCCTGAGATGCTCTCTTTGGGTCCTGGCATTATGACAGGGAGATGATGTCTGCTGCACCCCATACATGATCCAGCACACCTCTGCCCTTTCGCCTTTGCTTTCCCCCAAGCTAAAGCCCAGTTATTGTGGCCACTGCAGCTGGATGACCATTTTCACTGCTCTTCTCTGCGCTTTTTCACTCAATGGCCTGTTTCAGGAGAGGCAGCCAATGTCCTGCAAAGCACCGTTAAGGGGGCAGATTCGGTGTGCAGCCCAGAAGCAGGACCAAGCACGGAGCGACCGTCCTCGGAGCAAGGCCTGGGAAGCAGAGCAGATGTGCCAGTGCCAGAGCCAGACCTGGAGGGCTCCTCTCCCCGCTGGTGCTTGGCTCAGCTGCAAGGCGTTCGAGCTCGCCGGCCACAATCCTGCTCATGAGGAGGAGCTTTCTCCTGAGGAGCCTGTCTCGCGGGGGCCCGGCTTGCCTCTGCCGGTTCTGGCTCTGAGAGTTCTAGCCCCCCAAGGAGGGCCCTTCCGGCCTCCGCTGACATCCTCTTGAGTCAGCAGCGCCCAGTTGTGCGGCACTTGCCACCTGGGATCAGGCCACGGGGAATCTGTTTTTTTTTAATAAATTTTATTTGAAATTATAATCCTAAAAACAAAAGCTAAAAACAACATCAATCATCAAAAACATCGGGCCCGCTGGGCCAGCCCCCACATTTTTTTCCATTTATGATAACTTAAAAACACATTTAAATCTATACAAAGTCCCGTTTCTCTAGCCAATGATAAAAAGACTCCCACGTTTGATAGAAGTCGGCCACGGGGAATCTTTATGACGAGATCCGGGACCGCATCTGTCCTTACTGGGACTCTGCCCTGGTGGGCTTCTGGGCATGCCCTGCCCAGCCGGGTTCCTGTCTGGTGAACTCAGGCGCGTGAGCTAGCCCAACGCGCTGAGGGCCGCCGCCGCACCCTCACTGCCCCGCGTCTGCTGTAACGACACACAAAGTTATTAGGAGGGCGAGCACCCGGAGGAGGGCCTTCTCTGCGGTGGCGCCCTGGCTATGGAATGCGCTCCCCAGAGAGGTCTGCCTGGCGCCATCATGATATGTTTTTCAGCGCCAGGTTAAGACCTTTTTATTTAATTAATATTTTAATAAGTTTTAATATTGAATTTTATCATCATATTTTAATGGCAGCCAGAGTGGGTCGTTAATTAATTTATGTTATGTTAAATATTTGTATTTTATTTGTGTAAGCTGTCCTGAGGCTCTTGCAAAGGACAGCATACAAATACTTGAAAGAGCATACAAATATTTGAGAGAGAGAGAGAGAATGAATTTTAAATAAAGGAGCCAGGCATCCTTGGGCTGCCGGCCGAGCTGCTCTCGCTCGCAGGGGCCTTGCTCTGTGGCTGCAACGGTCACCACGAGGGCCTGTGTGACAAAGAGGCTGGTTCCCCGAGCAAGCGATCTGTGTGTCTCCTTTGGGCAGGATGGGCGCCTGTTTCCCCAGAGACGATGGGCATTTGGATAGGTGCCAGCCTAAATCTGCCCACGTGTGGAGCCATGAGGTCCTCCCAGACTCTCGCGGCTGCTCCTCCTGCGTGGGAATGGTGCCGAGATCCGGCAAAGGGCGTGTGGGAAGTGTCTGGGTGAAACTGGATGAGTGCCCAGCGGCTGACCCTGTTCCTTCTCAGCGGAATGGGCGTAGTTTTCCCTTGCTTTGGCTGGGTGTGCAGAGGAAGAGGAGGAGGGCGGTGCGGATACTCGGCACGAGGAAGGCTGTGACGCCTTCTTGGGCCCCGAGCCTTCCCTCCCCGATCTCGGACCCTGTGAAGGCAGGCGCAGCGCTGATGGCCGGGCTTTCCCCCCCAGGTGCCAGTGACGTTCGACGACGTGTCGGTCTGTTTCAACGAGAAGGAGTGGGAGAAGCTGGAGGAGTGGCAGAAGGAGCTGTACAAAAACTTGATGAAGGGGAACCAGGAGTCCTTGATCTCTCTGGGTAACGCTGGGGCTGCGGCTGGCTGTGCTGGGCAGCCCTCCCGACTGGCCTGGCCGGGGCGCATCGGCCCGAGTGTCCGGCCGTCCTCGCCCCAGGCGCCGCCTCCGTCCCCGAGGCACTCTGTTGTCCCTGCTACTGCAGACAGTGGGCTTCGGCTGTGTGAAGCTGCTCCCGCTTGCATGCGTTTCAGAACGGCGGGCCCCTTGCTGTGCAGCTGCGGCCCGGGCTGAGCCTCGCTCGCCCTCTCTCCTGTGCACGCCGCTTCAGGGGCCGGGATGGCCCGTACGGGCCGATGGGAGACTGTGCAGATCCGCTCGAAGGACGGTTGTGCGCCTGTGGCCATTCTTCACAGCCTCTGGGAAAGAACCCGACTGCGGGTCCCGCTGTTCCCAGAATATGTCTTGGGAAGGCGGGCGCCTCATCCCAGCCGATACCTTGGCACTGTTTCCGAGGGATGCAGCTGGGCGGAATAAGGCTGCGCGGGTCTCTGCCCGCCGTGGGACCCGGCTCGGGCTCGGTGGCGTCGGAACAGTGCTCCCGGTGAGCAAAATCGTACCCGTGGGGCACGTCCCAAGGCTCCGGGGCTTCCGGATGGGGGCTCCTGCCATGACCAAGCAAAGGGATCGCGTCGTGACGGTGCCTTTTTCTCCTCAACAGGATGTTGTGTTATGGGAAAGGATGTGTGCGGGGGGACGGGGACGGGACGCGGGGGGTTATGAGCAGAAGTTGCGGAATCTGCCCCCTCCCCCATAAAATGGCTGTTTGCGGCAGAACAGAAAGGCCTTTTGGGAACTGTCTAGTCCAATGAGCAGCGGCCACCCTCACGACGCCCAGCCCTTGCTATATTCCACCTTGAAAGCTCAGTCAGAAGGAATCCCGTCCCGTCCCGTCCCGTCCTGCGTGTTTTGAATTCTGAATATGAAATGCACACGAACGAGCAGTGCTCTTTCGGGACATTATCCCCGCGAAAGGAGGTCCCTTCTCCCTCCAGCCGTTTCATTTCACTTCCAAATCTATCACAGGTAGAAACTCGCTTTGATTTGAAATAAAATCTCGTTATTCCTGATAAGATGCTGAGCAACGAAGGACTGGCTCTCGGTCGTTCGGTTGCCGGGGCTTCTGTGCATAGTGATCGATTAGATAGATTAGATAGATTTCAAGGAACTGCCCCCTTCTCTGCCAGGGTCTTGCCTCTGCAGACTTTCTTCCCCGCCCTGGTGCTGTTCTCAAGCACGGCCAGGCAAGCACAGCATCCCCGTGCCCCACAGCCGGCGTCTCCCTGGCGCAGGGAGAACGGAAGCAGCCCTCCCTGGCTGCCCGCATGTCCAAGCCCCCTGGCCTCTTGCGGGAGGTGCTGTTTAGCAGTCCTCCAACTGTGAGCCCCCCCCCCCCCCGCTCTCTTCCTCTGTGCCGCAGACTATGCAATTTCCAAGCCCGGCGTTTTAGCCCAGACGGAGCCAGGCGCCGACTCGTGTCTTGGAGAGGAGCGAGACGCAGAAGAGCCGGGCAGGCCGCCGGATCCCACAGCAGGCAAGTGAGGCGAAGGGCTGCCTTGGGGGCCCGTGAGCTGCGCTGGTGCTGCACGGTGGGTCTGCCTGCCTCGGGTGGGGCCACCTTCAGTCCGAGGGCCAAATTCCATGTCGGAGACTTCTTGGGAGCCACGTTCCTGGATGGGGCCGGAGGCCAAGGGCCGGCCTTTCGTGGCGTAAAGCTCTCCCCGCCGGTCGTGTCGGGCTTGTGCAGGATTGTGGGGGGATGCACAGAGCTGGGAGGGCCCTGCAGCAGTGGTGGCTGGGCAGAGGAAGGGGCGCGGCTCCCTTGAGGACCCCTCCGGGGCCAGATCGGGCCCTGGGCCAGGGGTTGTCCCCCATCCTCGCAGGCTGCCGCAGAGGCGGTTGGATTGCGGCAGGTCCCAGCAGGTCAGCCTGAAGAGCCAGCCAGGATGGGCCCAGGCGGTCGGGGAACCGGTGCTCCCCCGACCAGGAGGCTCCTGGGAAGACTCTGGGCCAGCCTCTGCCTCTCAACCTCACAGGGCTGTTGCTGTTACCGGGATAAATGGCAAGGGGGAGACCCTAAGAGGCCCCCCTCGCAGAGGCAAAAGGCAGGGTATACGCGGAGGGCCGTGATACTCCTGGGCCCACTGAAGCCTGAGCGAGCGGCAGCAGTGCTGTTTCTTGCTTTCACGCCACAAAGGGGTATTCGCACGCCGGTCCTCCTGCTTCTCTGGCCGAGCAGCGACCTTCCATATCAGCCGACGCTTCTGGGCCATCCACAGGGGCGGCCCCCCATGGGGGGCACGTGGGAGTCAGTCTCCCAGATTGCAAAGGCCTAAAGGGCATGTTCCAGCCAGAGGAGCCTGCATCACTGTGGCACCTGGCGCATGCGGGGAGTTGGAGGCCTTTTCCATCTAAGCTTGCGCAGGATTGCACCCTGATTGCGAAGGAAGGAAGGCCCCTCTTCTCGCGGAGGCGAGCAAGCAGCATGTGGGGGGGCAGTGGAGCGAAGCCCTCCGGGTCCCTGCTCGGGAGAAGCGCCACCCCCCCCCAGGGACCGCTCGGGGCCTCGCCTCGAGTCCCCCCAGCATCAGCTCGCCCGAATGCAGCCTCTGTCTTCCCTGCATCTTCACGCGCTGCTGGGAGACCACCGCCGGGTAATGGGGAGGGGAGCAGGGCTGGGCCCCCTGCTTCTCAGCGAGCGAGGGGGCAACGTGGGGGCCCAGGGAAAGCCACGGGGGGACCCTGGCAGCCCCCTCGCCACAGACGTGGCTTCGGCAAGCCTCGCGAGGGAGGACGAGCGCCCCGGAGAAGCTCCCCGTGACGTGGGCCCCTGCGCCCAGAGCGTGGGGCTGGGTCTCCACCCCGCCATTTCGCTCCTGGCCCTGCGATAGATGGGGTGTCGCTGGGGCCCCCCGCTGCTAAAGGGCTGCCTTTGCTCCCCGCCGACTGCTGCAGCAGGCATCCGGGTGGTGATCAAGACGGAGGAGCCCCACTCCGACGACTGTCCGGAAGACCTGGAGCAGCACCAGATGTCCGGGAGCTCCGAGGGGGACTTCCAGGGCCTGGACCAAGAGGCCACCTGCGGAAGCCCGTACAGCGCCGCCACTCCTCTGGGAAACTTTGCAGGGAACAGCCTCGACGAGGCGAACGAGTACACCGTGGGCTTCGGGGAGATCGAGCGCGTCACCGTCCAGCACGGCAGCTGCACGGGTAGGGCTCCCCGCCCGCACCCCACTTTCCAGGCCCTGGCCGACTCCTGCCTTGGGAGGCAGGAGCGCACCCCTTCTTCGTCCTCAGAACGGCCGTCTCGTTGCCGGGCCGGGGGGAGGCCTGCGGCTGCTCTGCCGGGGCCGTGACGGGACCCCCGGCGGAGGCCGGCTTTGGACGCGGGTCTTCAGTCCTCTTGTGCTCATTCAGCATATTTTCTAGCTTTTGCACCTGCTTGTTGAAGCCTATTGCGGGGGGTAATTTGGGGTCCTTCACGGGCAGGGGGATGGACCTGGTGGCCTTCTGACCCCTTCCAGTCCTGCTCTTCCAGGACTCGGTGATTCTGTAGTTGCAGACCCCTGACCAGGATGGCTTCCTGGGACAGGAGCACTTGCCCCAGTAGGACTCTCCCGGCAGAGAGGCCCTTTCGTGCACCGTTTATCCAGTCCCGGGGCAGCTCTTTCCCTTCTCCTTAGACGCAGTTTTCCTGACGCAGCAACTTCTGCAAACTCCAAAGCAAAATCAAAGCTCCAGTCAAGGACTTAGGTGCAGCTTGCATGCCTTTTTTCAAAAAATGCGGAATTCCAGAACTTCTGCAGTCAGGGCATTGTAGCAACTTAAGACTGTCAACGAGTCTTTCTTGCTCTTTCTGACAAATTTCGAGCCCCAAATTTGCTTCAAAGAAGCTTCAGATATTATTCTTCTCAGCAAGTGATGCACAATGCTTTGCTCTTGTTTTCCCTTCGAAGATGACGGAATTGTGATCAAAATGGAAGAGGAGGAGGAGGAAGAGGAGGAGGAGGAGGAAGAGGAGGAGGAGGAGGAAGAGGAGGAGGAGGAGGAAGAGGACCCCGTCAGCCTCGAGCCCCGCGGACTCTTCTCTTCCAGAGCGGAGCCCCCGTGCTCGATCAACTGCAACGTGGATGTGAGGCGGGAAGATAAGCGGGTCGTGAAGCCCCCCCGAGCCACGGTGGGCATCTGCGCCCCTCTCTGCGAGAGGGACAACGGCGTGGAGCCGCGGCCGGCCACCCTGCAGCAGCGGAACCGGGCGCGCGAGCGGCCGTACATCTGCCCCGAGTGCGGGAAGAGCTTCATGCTGCGCATCAACTACATCATCCACCAGAGGAACCACCTCAAGGAGGGGCCCTACGAGTGCCACGCCTGCGACCTCAGCTTCCGCATCAAGCAGCAGTTCCTGCTGCACCAGCGCCTGCACACCACGCGGCGGGGGGTGGCCCCCCCGCCCCGCCGGGGGCAGGCCTACCCGGACAAACGCAGCCTCAAGCCGCAGCCCCGGCCGCCGCCGGCCCCGGCGCCGCCCGGGAAGCCCTACAAGTGCAGCGAGTGCGAGAGCAGCTTCAGCCACAAGTCCAGCCTGAGCAAGCACCAGATCACGCACGTGGGGGAGCGGCCGTACTCCTGCGGCGAGTGCCGCAAGAGCTTCCGGCTGCAGATCTCGCTGGCCATGCACCAGCGGGCGCACGCCGGCAAGAGCGAGCTCTCCTTCATCTGCCCGCAGTGCGGCAAGGCCTTCAGCCGCCCCTCGCACCTCCTGCGGCACCAGCGGACTCACACCGGCGAGCGGCCGTACAAGTGCAGCCAGTGCGACAAGACCTTCAGCGAGAAGTCCAAGCTGACCAACCACTACCGCGTCCACACCCGGGAGCGGCCGCACGCCTGCGGCGAGTGCGGCAAGGGCTTCATCCGCAAGCACCACCTGCTGGAGCACCAGCGCATCCACACCGGGGAGCGGCCCTACCACTGCGCCGAGTGCGGGAAGAACTTCACCCAGAAGCACCACCTGCTGGAGCACCAGCGGGCGCACACGGGCGAGCGGCCCTACCCCTGCACGGAGTGCGCCAAGTGCTTCCGCTACAAGCAGTCGCTCAAGTACCACTTGCGGACACACGTGGGCGAGTGAGGGCCGCCCGCCCCCGGGCCCGGGCATCCGGGGACACAGGACCGGCTGGGGCGGGGAGGACGGTCCCGCGCATGCCCTCCAGCCCCAGGCGCACAGACGCATGGCCTCTTCCTTTCAGTAACGGGTTTCGGAACCGAGCTAACCACCCCGTTGGCACGTGGCACCGGCCAGACCTGGATTCTGCTCCTTGCTTCTGCCTCCCTTGCCCCGTTCTGTTCTTTTTGATAATAAATGTGGAATCTGATTTTATTTGGTAAGCAGATGCTTCAGGTTCTGGGTTTGTTTCATGAGCTGCCAGCGTGTGGCATTCTGGGAAAACATCTGTGTGGAACGAGGAGGACGGGGTGCTGGTGGGGTGCCTACCGATTCCCCTCTTGAGAGCCCCCTTGGATGGAGGCTGCACAGCTGGGCCCCCAGAATCCCCCAGGCTTGCTGCTGGGACTGGTTCCTCCTGAGGCATCCTGCCCACGGGGCGTCTCTGTGTACGGCTCCTGTTGGGCACGGTAGCTGCAGTTTGGATCATCCTGTACATTTGGCAGAAGGCGAGACGTTCCTGTTTCTCTTTCTTCTGGAGGGAAGGCAGGTGTGTAAATACCAAGGAGGTGGGGAGGGAGGTGTGTGCTGTGAAGACCCCCCCCCCCCGTTCATCTCCTGAAACCTCCACGGTTTCTTCCTCTCGCTAAAAGCAGATAGCAAACCGCTGGCGGTTTGTGCTTCGCTGCTTTACCTCGAGTCCGGCGATGGGTCTGCCTTGCCAGGCTGGCCTGCTCTGGCTGGCAGCCATGTCCCACGGCAGCCTTCTCCAAGCGAGCGCCATCCAGACACGTGTGACCACTGTCCCAGACTGGCTTCTGCAGGGTCTCTCCAGGCCACGCCACGCCACCTGAGCTACCCGGAGCTGCCGGGCCGGGATGTGGCGGCCTGGGGGACGTGTCCCGTGTCTCCTGGGCTCAGCTGCCCCTCTTCTGCCTGCAGGCAGGCAGAACCTGGGTCACTCTGGCCAACGGGCAGAGAACTGGGCTCTCGGAACCTGCACTGTATCTAATGCATCAAGAGCCCACGAGGATCCGTCACCGAGATCCTGAGCTTTCCCGCAGAAAAATGGAAGTGGCCACTTCTTCTCCATGACCTCCGAGACTTTGAGCAGAGCGGGAAGTTCCATGGCGAGCTCAGACGTAGCTGAACCTGGTTCCTCCCCTGGCCTCCGATGCGTTGTGGGGAAGAGTGCTTAGAGGTCACCGTAGCGACATACGCATGGCGGTTGTTGTATACCACACTGCCCCCCCCCCATCGGCTTTGTGGCACTTCTTGTTGCGATGATGCAGCCAAGTGCATTTCTTGGCTGCCATATTCAGCCCAGATGGCCGGCTGGGGAATTCTTTCCTGCCCCTGCCATCCCCCAATCCTGGCAAGCCTGACCTTTTTATTCAAATGTCATTTTAATTGTTCATAGTATTTATTCATTTTATTCTTTGGCCAGGGCGACTTAATTTATACTGTTAATTTATATTATTCTATGGAAGTTTATTTATGGATGTGAGCTGCCCCGAGGCTTCGGCGAATGGGGCGGCATCGAAGTCTCCTAAATAAATAAATAAATAAATAATTCTTCAGCCGTCCTCCAACAATCCCCCACTGCCTGGGGTAGGCCAAGCCTTGGGCCCAGGGTGCGGCCGACACAGCAGCTCCTTAGCCCCCGCTGGAAATGCCACGAGCACCCGCGTCGGAGTTCGTGGCACCAGGGCAAGTCACGCCATGGATCGCCCTCCGTGTTTGCTGTGCCACATGGGCTGCGGAGCGGTGGAGCTGGACGCAGTGGTTGGATCCCGCTGTCGGCGCCCTGCGAAGCCCTGTCCCTCGGGCCTCGCTCAGCCGAGACCGTCTTGGCTCCACGCCTCCCCCCGCTACAGAGCACGGTGGTGGCGGGTGGGTGCGTGCCCTCTCCCTGCCCCATCTGCCACTCTTCGGAATGGCGGCCTGGCAGCCCGTTCGTAGATGGGGGGGGCTCTTCCTCAGCAGCTTCCCCGCGATGCCGTGCCTCGCCGGCTCTGTGGGAGAGCAGGCAGGACTTGCTTTACCCAGACTGCGCGGGAGAGACGGTGCTGGCATTCCAGGCCCCCGTGGGTCCGCCAGGCTTCCGACTGGGATACCTGCGGCTCGGTTCTGCCTCCCCTCGCAGGGCTGGTGGCCCCGTGACGGGCGCGAAAAGCTCGCGCCTCGACCAGGAAGGCCCAGGGCTCAGCGTTCGTTCGGGCGTCCACCTTGTGGGTTCACCAGCAGCGGTCCGACGTGGTTCCCCATGCAGGAGGTCGGCGATGATGAGCAGAGGGTGTGGAACGGCCAGACTGACGGGATGGGGCCTCTGCCCTGCAGCCACTTGCCCTGGGGCCTGGAGGGGCGTCTGCCAAGGGCTCGCTGCGGACCTGCCGGCCTGGGGCGCCTTTGGTGGCCCCTCGCCAGGCCCGGTGTGCCCTGCGCTGCTCCCGTCCGGCCTGGCCGAACCCAGCGCCCTTCCGCCTCTCAAGGTCTGCTGCCGCCAGCACCGGGCCAGGAGGTTTGGCGGGCTGCAGCGGGGCGGCCACCGGCCGGGAGGGCAGTCGTCCCGCGGGCAGCCAGGCGCTTCGGCACCCGGGGCAGAGGCCGCCGGCGCCCCTCTCCCGCTGGAAAGCAAGCCGGCCCCAGCAGCAAACCAGAGGGCCGACCCTGCCGGCCTCGTTCGGGCACTTGCCCAACGCCTCGCGGGGCGCGGGAGGCCAGGCCTGTGACCCTTGGGCCTGCTGGCCGCAACCGCGAGCTGCCGGCCGCGCCTCTGGAGCGCCCCAGGCCGGGGGGGGGGAGTCTGCTCAGCGGATTGACGGGATTCACAACCCGGTGGGGAGAGCCGAGAGACCTGCCGCGGCGGCGAGGAAGGTGCCGCAGGCCGGAGGCACGCGAGGCGGCGCCACCACGGATAAGGCGCTGCCCCGGCCCGGCCCGGCCCGGCCCGGCCGCGCAGGAAGGGCGCGGGCGGCCTCCGTCCGCAGGGGGCGCTGCGGGCCCGGGCGGCAGGGAGGCGCGCAGGAAGGCGCTTCCTGGCGGCCCGGCGGCGCATGCGTGCCGCGGCTGCCCCCCTCGCCTTTTAAAGCACCCGGAGCTGCGCATGCGCGCCGTCCGTGTCCGCGAGGGACGGCTGTGGTGGGTGCCCTTCTCCCTCGCGCCCCTCCTCT